CGTACCTTGTGAGAAATGCTGTCTTTGGAACATCTTGTTCTCTGACTCGTAGCTGATGATAACCAGACCTCAAATCGATCTTTGAGAAGTAAGTAGCTCCCTTCAACTGATCAAACAGGTCATCAATTCTGGGCAACGGGTACTTGTTGCGAATAGTGACCTTGTTCAGTTCTTTGTAATCAATACAAAGACGAAGAGATCCATCCTTCTTCTTGACAAACAGTACTGGTGCTCCCCATGGTGAAGTACTCCTGCGAATAAATCCCTGGCTGAGCAACTGCTGAATTTGATCCTTCAACTCTCGCATCTCCACTGGTGCCATTCTGTACGGCGCCTTAGCAATAGGCGTAGTGCCTGGAGGTAAATCAATAACGAAGTCTATCTCTCGACTCGGTGGCAAGCCTGGAATTTCCTGGAATACATCCTGGAATTCCTGTACTACTGGGATACTGTCCCGAGATACCGCAGCCGCTTCCTGTGAGTCCTCCTCAAGAACGAATAAATAAGTGCTAGGCCCTCTATCAGGTTGTGGTACAACAAGAAGATACATCGCCTGTCCTGGTATAGAAAATACAATAGACTTTTCGTAACAGTTAACCTGAGCATGGTACTGAGATAACCAATCCATCCCAAGTATAACATCATACGAATGCATATCTAACACTAACAAATTTCCAAGAAATCGAAGCCGGCCCATATCTATAAGGATATCACCGCTACACTCTCTTAAAATTGCGCCAACTCCCAATGGTGTATAAATATTAAGAGGTTGGTCACATAACTGAGTCGTCATACTAGATAAGATAACAAAAGATCTAGACACAAAAGAATGTGATGCACCAGTGTCAAACAGTATACGAGCAGTTCTACCATGTATAGAAAACATACCCTCAATAGCCTGAGGAGCCTGCGCATTATGTGGCATGAAGTTATAAACTCTGCCATGATGCAACTGCTGTGGAGGTTGTCCCGGAGGAAATGGTGGTGCTGGAAGTGCTGGAAAATTCTGAACTTGCCCACGTGGCATCGGTGGGGCCGGTAGAGGTAACAGCTGATTAAGTCTCGGCTGCCCATACTGTCCCTGCTTAGCTTTGGGACACATCTTGGCCGGATACCCAATCTCTCTACAGTGATAACGTCATCCCGTAAAAGGACCTGCCTGCCTCCTCTGTTGACTTCCCGACCACTGTTCCTATCCGGTCTGAGGTACCCCACCTTGTCTACCCTGATTAGGGACTCCATCCCTCTGCACATCTGGGTTTCCTTTGTTTTTCTTCCAAGGTTGATGTCCTTGAAATCTGCCCCGATCATTGGACTTTGTACCACTGCTGCTTCCTTTCTCCACTGTCTGGTAGTCTCGGTTAGTCCGCTTATCTCCCTTGGACTTCCGGTAATCACTCCTCATCTGGCAGTGCTGTAAGGCGGCATTAACCACCTGGATATAAGTAGTATATGCAGGACTACCTATGATCACCACTTTAATCAGCCATATTAACCCTTTCACAAAGCGGTCTCTCTTCTTTTCTTCCGTATTGACCTCCTCTGGTGCAAATAATGACAAATTAATGAACTTCTGTTCATACTCAGCCACAGTCATATCCTCCTGTTGCAGATCCAGAAATTCAGTCTTCATCGCTGATCTTACTGACATAGGAAAATACTTGTCATCAAAGCGAGTCTGAAATTCAGCATACGTCAATCTGGTCCTCTCATCGACAGTAGTAATAGACTCCCACCACTGCAATGCATTGCCTATCAGCATAAACGTAGCTAGCATCTGTTTCTGCACTTCGGTACAGATTACCATCCGAAGATGACGCTCGCTCTCCTGTTTCCACTAATATGCTAACAAGACATCTGTGGACCCCGCAAATGTCGGTGGATTCCCTCTGATAAATGAGTGACGAGTTTTGTCCCATGACATTGGCTGTGCCACTGGTTCAGGAACAGGTACTATCGGAGGAGGTTGCTGGTTTCGTAGAGCAGATGCTACTCCTGCTGCTACAGCTCGTGCAATAATATCAACAACTTGAGGGGAAAATTCCTGATTCTCATTTTGAGTTGGGGAATTACTGCAATGACGGTTCGCATTCCTTGTCCCACGCCGAGACATCCTTCTTTTGAATTCAGAAAAATCTAACGTCAGTACATTATAATGGACCGACTAAAGAATACAAAGAACCCTGATACTTAGGCTCTAATTATCAGAATACACAACGCGGAAGTATAGTAATCACAGATCCCTAAGACACTCGAACCTGGAATTCTCTGATACCAACTGTAACACCCCCACATTTTCCACGCATAAGTTGATCAGGCTTATACACGAAAAATGAGGAATATCAAAAAACAATTGGCAATATACAAGCATGGAATACAAAATGATGATAATAAAAGAATTTAGACAGGAAAGGAACACTAAATAATACAACATCCATCCATCCTTTATTTAAATACAGTACTCCATTACAACTTGGAAATCCTATGTCAAGGATCCCTAAATATAAACCTGAGGGTTCAACGTCAAAAGCAAATAAAAACTGAAACTGAAGTAATACGTAAAACTTCTACCCTGAACTGGATCGTAAGAGTAGATGAGTTCGGATGGTGGTCCCACACTGCTAACCTCAACCTTGGAACGGGTACTGACCGTATCCTGAAATAACAACAATGGTGGGTCAACCCCACGAGCAAGTCCTCTCTACTATGACCCAAATCAGAGAATCAAATAAATTAATCATTATGAATCAGATGAGTACTATATTTGTATACATCCTAAGGGAACTATCCAATGTATAACATGACCTCAACCAGAATAGACGGTGATCACTTAGACTCACACTAGGTGGTTAAGTGTCGCCTTTCCCTACCCGGGAAATCAGCAATTATACATGGTGCACGGTACTGACAACACAGACTATAACGAACTACACAGTGATAACACCTCCCAAAGTACTGATGAATATACTGAGCGTATCAATTAGGCAACACATGCCAACAATATTAATAAATATACCGAGTATGTCAGTTAGGCAACACATGCCAATAATATTAAACCACATACCTCGACAGCCACACATCTGTCTATAGCAACGAATGCATAAGGTATAAATGAGTCTAAACTTATTAGCCAGCTCACATGGTTCTATATGGCAACACATCCATATAATATAAATGCGACATAATTTAAACAGTCCATTTATTCTCTGAAATGCACACAGCATAATAATCATGGTTTATATACGATTAACAGTATAACTATTCCATAATATATAATGGATCATTTATATGAATGAAACCAAGCACTAATTAACTTAACATTAATGGTTTATTATAGTTTAAACAAATAATAATACCATTTATAGTCGTTTAACTTCATTACATACGTTTACTAGCGATTCACCCTTTAATTGATACAATTAATATTTAGAAATATTAATCGGACCATTATAATAGTTAACGAGAAATAAAATAATAATATAATGTCTCGTTAATTCCAAAAATGCCAACCCGAGGCCCAAAATGTATAGTGAAGGTCCTGGTAATGACAAAACAGTCCCTAGGGGTATTCTGGACTTTTCCAGCAACTGCAGAGGCCCTTCACGCGCCCCCACGCGCCTCCCAGAGCTCCCCACACGCGCCGCCAAGCTTTCCCACTCTCCCACGCGCTCACACGCGCTTCAACGCGCGTTTGGAGAGTTCCACGCTCGCGCACGCGCTCCCACGCGCGTCTGGAATCAGTCACGCGCGCGCACGCGCTGCCACGCGCGCACTAATGGTTCCTTGCTGACGCGGCGACCTCCGGTTGGTTGGCTGCATCATCTTTCCTACATGCGCGCCACACAGGATCAATCCACCTACCTTCCCTCCATCCAACGCTCACGGATCCGGGTGTACCGCGGTAACATGGACCGCGGTGCACCGGATCAATCGCTGCTGTTTAATGGTCCAGATGCGCGCGCATACCCTCCTATGGTGTGCCGTATCACACCGGATCACTCCGGTCATCTCCCCCATTGCCGGCGACCGGAAAACTCGCCGGAAGGTCTCCGAAAATTGCAGAAAAGCCCCGGAAAAATCTAGAAAATTCTAGAAAAATCCCTAAAGCTTTATTTAATTATTTTTGGCCATGATTAATTTCATAGGATATTAAATAAATATATACTATCCTATATAATTAAAATTTCATTAATTTAATAAGATAAAATTTATAATTTATTAATCTACTAACCTTGGCTCTATGCATACAAATAAACTAAACAATTAATTTATTAATTCAAAGGGGAAAAGTAGATAATAACTTGCCTTTTTGGATTTAAAATAAATCCGCCGGTTGCGCGTAATCGGGTAAATTCCCTACACCGGTCCAGACTCCTTTCTTTCTCTCTTTTCCTTTCGGTCTTATACAAGAACTCACTTTTATTATTTCCTTCTTCAACTTATGTGAATCCTCAACTAAAGGGCTAACTTCTATATATACATAACTTATATAATCTAAATATTACAAATATCTATTTTTGCATTTAATTAACCACATTCCCAACCATAAGGCTTTAAGGCTAGCAAGCCAAGTCAAGCAAGATGTCCTAAGGTAAATCCTATCCTAAGATTTAATTTCTTCATCATTATATTGATTTAATACTATTATTATTTATTATAAATATTATTATTATTTTTATTATTAATAAACTATTATAATTATTATTATTATAAATATTATTATTATTAAATACAAATTAAATACTTTAATTAAATAATATTAATTAATCTAAAACATAACCAATAAAATGTCTAAACTAATCATTATAATATATAGAACAAAAAAATCAATATTACATGCACAAATAAATAAAATTAATTAACTAATTTAACATATATAATTAAAAGGTGAATAAATCTACACATTAAAGAATTAACCTAACACAAAATTAATTTAAATAAACTCTTTAAAATTACGGAGTATTACACTGACGATGCTATGAATGCACGAAAAAACAAAGATGGTGAAGATAAGAGGTCGGATAAGAAGAGGCCAACACCTAGCACTAGGGAGGAAAGGGAATTGAAGTACAAGAAATTCTCAAACAACCAGGCTGACAAATCGTTTTGCCGCCCAGCGAGCCCAGGCAAGTATAATAACTATACCCTCCTAGATACATCTGTAGAGCAAGTCTTTCTGCAGATTCAAGATAACGCATCATTGAAATGGCCACCAAAGCTAAAAGTTGATCCAACAAAGAGGTCTCGAGATAAATACTGTAGGTTTCATCGGGACCATGGACATAACACAGAGGATTGTTTCGACCTCAAAAACCAGATTGAGAACCTTGTTCGTAAAGGTCATTTACGCAAATTCACAACTAGAAATGGAAAAGGAGGCTCCAACCCAGACCGGGAGGGCCGAGATGATCGCCCTCCTCAACACCAACCAATGGGTGAGATCAAAGTTATATCGGGTGGCTTCGCTGGTGGTGGTGAGACGAGTTCAGCTCGGAAGGCTCATGTTAGGAGAATTCAGAGTTTTTCAGAGGTGAATGAAGTTAGAATGACAAGTCCTCCAACCAAATTACCTCGAGTTGAGGAGCCGGTCATAACCTTTTCTGAAGAAGATGACAAGGGAATTCACCAGCCCCATGATGACCCTCTGGTAGTTTCCATGGTCGTTGCTAATTTCACTGTTCGACGAATACTAATAGACAATGGTAGCTCGGCTGACATACTATTTCTTAGGGCGTACGAGAAATTGAAAATTGGCCGAGAGAAGCTCCGACCCATGAAGTCACCACTGGTGGGATTTTCAGGCGACAAAGTATATCCACTGGGGGCAGTTACCCTTCGAGTTACTGCAGGAGCCAATCCAAAGTAGGTCACTATAATGGTGGACTTTGTAGTGGTGGACTGCCCATCATCATATAATATTATCCTGGGGAGAACGACATTGAATGCTATGAAAGCAATCACGTCCACTTACCATCTCCTGATGCGTTTCCTAACTGAATATGGTATGGGAGAGATAAGAGGGGACCAAACAATGGCTCGAAAATGTTATGTCACCTCTCTCAGAAAAATAAAATCGCAAGAGGCATTTATGATTGAAGGGCTGGAAGGGAAAGATAGACCAGACTTTCATAGAACGGAACCTACAAAGGAGCTAGAAGAGGTCATCCTTGGTGAGCCCAAGAAAAAAGTGAGTATAGGGTCTTTACTCCCCCCAGGTATCAAAGATGAACTTACTCAATTCCTCAGGAAGAATCAAGACGTATTTGCATGGGTACATGAAGACATGTCGGGTATAGACCCCACTATCATGGAGCACCGCCTAAATGTAAATCCTGACTTCAAACCTGTCAGACAAAAGAGGAGGACTTTTGCTTCAGAAAGGAATCAGGCTATATCAGAAGAGGTGGAAAAGCTCTTAAAAGCCGACTTTATTCAAGAGGTGTACTACCCCGACTGGCTGGCAAATGTGGTCCTAGTGAAGAAGGCAAATGGAAAATGGAGTCTATGTGTAGATTTCACCGACCTTAACAAAGCTTGCCCGAAGGACAGCTTTCCTCTCCCAAGAATCGATATGCTCATTGAGGGAACGACTGGACACGAACTATTAAGTTTCATGGATGCATATTCTGGATACAACCAGATATCTATGTACACCTCAGATAGAGAAAAAACGGCCTTCATCACTGATAGAGGTTTGTACTGTTACAAAGTAATGCCGTTTGGGCTCAAGAACGCTGGTGCAACATACCAGAGGCTAGTGAATGCAATGTTTAAGCATCAAATTGGTAGAAACATGGAGGTATATGTTGATGACATGTTGGTGAAAAGCTTAAAAGCTGAAGACCATTTGACTGACCTGCAGGAGACCTTCGAGGTACTTAGGAGTCATAAGATGAAACTCAACCCCAGTAAGTGTGCCTTTGGGGTTTCCTCAGGAAAGTTCTTGGGATATATGGTAAGTAGAAGAGGAATTGAGGCCAATCCAGAGAAAATCCGAGCAGTCATTGACATGAGATCGCCAAGATCAACTAAGGATCTACAATGACTAACAGGGAAGATTGCTGCCTTGAGTAGGCTAATCTCTCGGTCAACTGACAGGTGTCTACCTTTCTTTCGTGTGCTAAGGAAGGCTTTTGAATGGACCCCAAAATGTGAGCAAGCATTCAAAGAACTAAAGCAATACCTTAGTTTTCCCCCACTACTGTCTCGAACCATACCGGAAGAGGAACTATACATATACCTTGCAGTCTCCACGACAGCTGTCAGTTCAGCTCTGATACGAGAAGAAGAAGGGGTCCAAAGGCCAGTATACTTCGTGAGCAAAGCACTTAGGGGTGCGGAGGAAAGATATCCAAGAATGGAACAGTTGGCCTTTGCTTTAATTATGTCCGCCAGGACGCTGAGACCATACTTTCAAGCGTATACGATAGTGGTCCTAACAGATCAACCCCTTCGACAGGTCCTACACAAGCCAGAAGGCTCTGGTTGACTGATAAAGTGGTCAGTAGAGTTAGGGGAGTTTGACATTCAGTATAAGCCAAGAACAGCAGTAAAGGCTCGGGTGTTGGCTGATTTCTTAGCTAAGTTTACCCCTCCAGAATAGGAGAAACAACCCCAATTTTTGACAGAACCAAGTTTAAGTGAGCAGATGGGCCCAGTCTGGGACTTGTTCGTGGATGGGTCATCTACTGCTCAGGCTAGCGGAGCCGGGCTTGTTCTTGTCTCCCCAGAGGGAGAAAATATACAGTACGCACTTCGGTTTGGTTTCAAAGCAACCAACAACGAAGCAAAGTACGAAGCCTTGATAGCAGGATTAAAAGTGGCAAATGCCCTAGGGGTTGAGCGATTAAAGGTGTACATCGACTCCCAGCTAGTCGCTGGACAAGTTCAAGCGGAATATGAGGCACGAGACGAGAAGATGAAGAGTTATCTACAAAAGGTGAAGGAATTAAAGAATCACTTCCAAAGATTCTCAATTCATCAAATACCACGAGAAGAGAATAGGAAAGCAGACGCTTTAGCCCGGCGAGCTACTGCATTAGAACCTGAGATCAATAAGAATATACCACTGGAATATTTGGATGAACCATCTATTGAGTGTGGAATGGGCAGATCCTATCATCAGATATATCAAGGATGGGGTGCTACCAACAGACCGAACAGAAGCTCGAAAGGTCAAGATGCGGGCAGCTAGGTATACGTTTATCAAAGGGGTGCTCTACAAGAGAAGCTTCTCTATGCCGTATTTACGATGCATTTCTAGCGAGGAAGCTGACTACATTTTGAGGGAGATCCATCTAGGAGTTTGTGGAAACCATACTGGGGGTAGGTCACTTGCAAACAAGGCCATCCGACAAGGATACTATTGGCCCACCATGTAGAAAGATGCACTTGACTTCGTTAAAAAGTGCGACAAGTGTCAACGATTTGCCAACATCCCGAGACAACCATCAGAGGAGATGACTCCCATGTCAGGACCATGGCCATTTGCTCAATGGGGAATGGACTTGATTGGCCCTCTCGTCAAAGGCAAAGGGCAGACTAAGTATGCCATTGTTATGGTTGATTACTTCACTAAATGGGTAGAAGCTAAGCCTCTGGCCAAGATCACAGAGAACAATATAAGGAAGTTCATATGGAAATCAATAGTTTGCAGATTTGGGATTTCTAGAGTGATTGTCACAGACAATGCAAAACAGTTCGATAACTCTGACTTCAAAAATTTTTATTCTGAGCTCAGGATTCAAATTCATTTCTCATCGCCAGGACATCCCCAGGCGAATGGACAGGCCGAAGTCACTAACAGAACAATCCTTCAGATGATCAAGACTCGACTTGATGCTGCAAAGGGACTGTGGCCTGAGCAGCTGCCGAGTGTACTGTGGGCTTACCGTACTACTGCAAGGACTCCCACAGGGGAAACCCCTTTTCTTTTAGCGTTTGAAAGTGAGGCAGTAGTACCTGTAGAGATTGGCCTAACAAGCTTTAGGATGGAGCACTATGAGCCCAAGCAGAACGAAAGGGAGTTGGAAATAAGCTTGGACCTAATCGAAGAAAGGAGATACCTAGCCCGAATTAGGATGGCTACCTATCAATAGAAGGTTTCCAAGTATTACAATGCTCGGGTCAAGCCTAGGAGGTTCTCAGTAGGAGATTTAGTACTCCGCAAAGTTAGTCAGGCAACTAAGGATTCAACCATAGGGAAACTAGGTCCCAAATGGGAAGGGCCCTACAAAGTTACGCGATATCAGCGACCAGGAACATACTGGTTGGAGGACTTAAAGGGAAAGCCATTGCCTCACCCATGGAATGTTGAGCATCTAAAGAAATATTATCAGTAAACAATTTCAGTTTAGTCTCAATTTATTATTTATTTTTGCTAATACTTCTAGTTGCAATAATTACTTCATTCTCTACGAATGAATGTCTTCAATAGCCTTGTTATCAACTTTGGCTTTAATAAAGTATTCCCTACTTAGATCAGTTGTTTCAAATAATTCATTATCATTTTGATATGTTAAGATATTCATGTTAAATGGGTGAGCTGGGTGAAGCTCATAATAATCTACTTCCCTTGTTAAAGGGGTGAGCTGGGTGAAGCTCATAGCAATCTACTTCCCTTGTTAAAGGGTGAGCTGGGTGAACCTCATAGCAATCTACTTCCTTTGTTAAAGGGTGAGCTGGGTGAAGCTCATAGTAATCTACTTCCCTTGTTAAAGGGGGAGCTGAGTGAAGCTCGTATACATCTACTTACCTCATTACATAGACGAGCTGAGTAAAACTCGTCTTAATCTACTTTCCTTATCAAAGGGATGAGCTGACCAAAGATGTCAATAAAATAACATAATGCGGCAGTCGCAATGGCAAACCATAACTGTCCTTCCTACTTATCAACCCAATTGATTGTAAAGAAAGAGAAGTTTCAAGCACAAAGAGAAACATGGGAGCAAATAAATGAATGGCTACACATCTATCCTATTCAGAATCACTCGCTTCATCTAGTTGAATGACAGAGAAGTCTTGGTCTGCAAATTCAAAAGCAGCACGATTTCGAAAATCTTCGAAGCCGTCAAAGTAGGCCTTCGACATAATCTCCTTGAAGGTGGGTGAGGCTTTAAACTCACCCACTGCATTGGCTCTTTCCACCATTAGTTTCTGGGACATCTCCTTGTTGAGTTTTTGCACATAAGATGCATGACAAGCTCGTTCTGTTTCTAACTCAGCACGCAGTGCTTGTAGAGCGACCTTATGTTTATCACGTTCCACTTGTAAATCGGCTTGGTGTTGGGAGCGAGTAGAAGCCAACATATTGGTGTAATGCTCTCCTCCTTTTACAGCTAGACACGACAAGTAATACGCGTGTGTATTCACCTGTACGCACATGGGAATAAAAAGTTACAATAAAAAGGAAAAGAAAAACTAAATAAATACAGAGGATGGTGCGAGAGTTAACCCGTGCGAGATCATGCATGAGTCGGTCTACAAGCTCAGTTGGAGGGCGTGAATTCAGATACATCATATCCTCCTTCGACAAAGACTCGCTTATCTTCTTAAAAGCAAGTTGAGCATTGCCTAGAACAGATGTTGCTGAAGAGTAAGGATCTGAGGGGAGTACCGCTGCTTCAATAAGGAATGGCATAGTCCCATCCATAAGCTGATGAGGGAATTGCGAGTCGGATTCGTGTGGAGAAACAACTAAAACAGGTAAGACCCTTTGTGCTGTAATAGTAGGCTTCTTTTTTTTCCTCTTGGTGAGGAAAGTAGGTGGGAAGTCACTTGAGCCTTCTTTGAACTGAGCTAGAAGCCTCTTATTAAGTTTTCGGGATATAGTTACAGAGGACTTGCCAACTGGCTGAGGACCAATCC